ACTTAATGAAAAGAGTTTTATGTTTGGGTCTTATAAAAGTGAGTTGAAGAATGATTGTTGGTTGCTACGCGACTAGTGATTACTTATAGACTTCGTCAAGGATTGTTAACATATTACTTAGCTCGATGATGATTTAGCAATTATAGGGTTACTTTATTAGATGGTATTGAAAAGGATTGTGTCATTAGTTTACATGGTATTTCCATATTAGCATAATGATTCTACTTTTATTAATATTATTTAGTTATGTTTAATTTATAATGTTAAATTTCATTGAATCTTGGATGTGGTGAATGTATGGTACCTATGATCCTCCAACTAAGATCACTGACTTTATGTCCTTTGACACAGTCACAATGACCTTGGCCTAGGACAATTGCGACTCAAGATTGCCCTAGTCACACTGTCTCCAAGTCCTTGGACTCAGACATAGTCTAGGACTAGCGTATTGCATGAACTCAAACTAGGGCTTGAGTTGCAGACTTAGATTAGACATGGAATCCAAATTTGTTGACACATGGTGGGGAAAACTTCAAGGTTCAGCCTTTGTCTAAGGTGAACCTTGGTAGACTAACTTGCCCTGCCTAGAGCTTGCCTTGCTTGGGGAATCACACCATACAACATTACAAGTGTTATTTGAGATATATGAACAATGATGAATATAAGAGAGGGAGCACCATAAAACAGGTGTCAGTCCGTGTTAGTTATGAGTTGATCATAGTTTCTTATGCATATAATTATGTGTTAAGCATGAAACAAACTAGTATAAATTTTGCTTCAAAAGGAGTAAAGTTATAGCTTTTGCTAATGCTGATCTCATTGGTGACTATGATGATAGAAGATCTAACAAGAAATAATAATTAAGCTCTCTCAAATTGCAAGATGAAAAATATAATAATTATAACAATCTAAGTAAGATGACTACTAAAAGAGCTTCACTTTGTGTGTGTAGGCAAATCTACAATAACAACTCTTCAGCATTTCTTTAAAACCCATTGAAGCCACAACTTCAATAGTTGTAAGTATATTCCTATTTTTTGTTTTTCATTCTTGTTCTTGTTAAAAATAGAGCAATTAGCTTTCTTTCAAGCTATTTGATATTTTCTGTTTTCTTAAGCAAACCTCTAGAGGTATATGTAGAATATGTAGTTGTTATTCATTTATATTATTTTTATATTTATAATATAAACACTTCATAATATATTCTGCTTATTCTACCATTTAATAGCTTTTTTTGGTTTTCTTAATTGGTGGTAGTGAATATACCTAGAATATGCTTGGATATTCTAGGATATTCTACCATCTAACAATTGTTATTTATTTAGATTAATCTTATATTCATAATTTATAAACATGTTTATAATTTATAAACTTTCCTAATCACTTCCTCGTATATTCTAGTTTATTCTATCATCTAATTCAATAATATTAATCTTGTGTTTATAAGTTACAAATATTTTTGTTATTATATATGATCAATTAAATTAATAAATAGAAATAACACTACTATTAAGCAAAACAAAAGTTGCTGCATATAATCTGCAGAAAATTATTTATAAATTCTAAACATGTTTATAATTATAAACTGTCTATTATTTAATAAATGGTACTAAACTACTATTAATCAAAACCAAACATTACCATAACAAATTATTTTACCTTGCACTACTGATTTTGATCAACCAGGCCATTATATTTTCTCCATGACGAGAGGAAGACCGTGGCGAGGTCTGAGCGTAAGTTTGAACACCGGGCAGTGGCGATACGATGGCGACAACCGAAACCGGAAGCGCTGGAGAATGGTGGCCAAGGCGATCTTGGCTTCCATGAGTACAAAGGACTGGCCGACGCACACCCGGGGGCCAAGTGAAAACGGCATGAATGCGTTCGGGTGCTTGGACGCCTTGGTGACACCATCCTTGAAACGCTCCGGATTGAACTCGTGGGCGTCCTCCCCCCAGAGCTCCTTGTCGTGGTGGATGGCGAGGATTGGAAAGGAGACCGCCGCTCCCTTTGGGACGAGGATATCTCCCAGTATGGTGTCCTCGAAGCACGATCGCATCATCACCACCACCGGTGGATACAGGCGGAGAGTTTCGTGGAGGATCATGTTGATCTAGCCATGAGAAAGAAAGCTTGAGCTCGTCAAACTCGAAAGTAACGTAAAACCTTTACCAGCTTGAGCTTGCTGATTGAATCGGCTTCTGGAGTGGCACCTTCGCAGACTTCCTGGGCCTCGGCGCGAGCGCGCTCCTGCCATTCCCGGTGCAAAGCCAGTAGCGTTATGGACCAGGTGAGCAGAGTTGCCGTCGTCTCGTGGCCAGCAAAGTAGAAAGTCTTGCACTCCTCCATCACGGCCCGATCGTCAAAAGAAGAGTTTCCACACTCGGCAAGCATCAGCCCCAGTAAGTCATGACTCTGGCCACTCTGAGCTCGCCGCTCCTTGATCAGGGCCAGCAGCAGCGAGTCGAGGTCGCTGTAGAGCTTTCTCAATCGAAAGTTTGCTGGAAACGGAAGGAATCTACGGTGGATCAGAAAATCGTGTTATAGTACGTAAACGAAAGAGATTTGATCACCTTTTGCCTGGTATATAGTTGTATCGATCGACCTTCGAAAGCTGCTCTGGGATTGCTCTCAAGGTTTCGAAGACCTTCTGGCCTTTGAGATAGCTGCTTCCGAATGCCGTGTGGGAGATAATGTCTGCGGTTAGCTTTGAGAATTCACTGCTCATTTCAATCTCGGGCTGCTCGCGGAGCGCTTCTTCCAACCTGTCTAGCATCTCGAGCGCGCACAGTCCGATACGGGGCACCATTTTCTGGTTTGTATGACCAAGTAATGAAAGTTGATAAGAAGTAAAGAAAGAAAAAATGGAACCTTGAGCTTCTCTAGGTAAAAAGCTGGAGCCACAACACGTCGATGGTAGCTCCACTCGTCACCTCTCACGGCAACGAGCCCTCGGCCAACTATGGAGACCAGTCCGGAAACCATTATGTCCGACTTCTCAAACTGGGTAACTTTCTTGGCAAGAACTTCTCTGATGAGCTCGGGCTCCGTGACCATGATCCTGGGCTCCGTCGCCCACCAGTAGCAATACCTCTTTCCTGCGAAGAAATCGTCCAGAGTACAGGAATTTACGAGGAGAAGTTACCATATTCCTTGGACCACTGGTGGTAATCCAGCAACACATGCTTCACAATGTCGTGATTCAAGCCTTCCATGTCCCGCTCCTTGCCAGTATCTCTCATCTTCATCACCTGGAGCATGTTGCCGGCCATGAAAGTCCTTGGTGGCCCCTCGATACCCTGGCTTCGAATCCTTGCGTCGAGCGATCTTGGCTCCAGCCAGAACCTGGTGACAATCGATCGCCATAGCTTCGCAACCAGTGCTAGCAACACGAGCAGCACGCCCGTCCACACCGCCTTGCCAATGCCCTCCATTAGATAATAATAAAGACGTATTTTTTCGGGGCCACCCGGATGATATCCAGTTCTGGAATTTTCCTAGAAACCTGGAAACTGTTTTCTAGAGAACTCCTTTGCTTAAGACAATCAATGCCAAATGGGACTTGGATCGTCAGAAAAATGAATAATTTGAATATAATTATTTTTAAAAAAAATTTGTTTCTGAGTTCTTTCGTTATCGCATCAGGGATTTAATGTAATGCTTGTCAAGATCTTTCAGCAAGCACTGAACACCTTGTACAATTGAAAAATCTTCTAAACTCTCAGTGGCAATCAGTGACAGTCCGTGTGATTCTGAGCAAAGATCATGCTGTTGTGGTCTTCAATGCCATGCGCCAGCCCGTCAACTTTTTGTCCCTTTGTATATCCACGGGCTCCCCGAAAGCAAATTTCATAGACATGTTCCTTTCGATGGAAGAAGTCTTGCGGACGAGACAAGAGCGATCGGACCCAACACTTCTTTATGGTGGTATCTTTGCAGGCCCGTCATTGATCCAAAGATTAGGTGGATCATGGTTATAAATGCATCTAAAACTTGTTCTTCTTCGTGTTTGATCTCTCCGCGCTACACGAAAAGAATCGCCATCTCCATACATGGTCGGTTGAGTGATTGGATACCTTTTCGCAAAACCTGGCTTTGATTCCGGATCGTTTTTGTGATGCATGGGCCGTGTCTTGTTTTGGCAGGAGCACGCTGTCGAGTTACACAAATCCAGCATGAATCTCGAGGCAGGAGCCGAGGGAGACCAGCGAGCCGAGGATCCCGAGTGGAGCACGACTTGGCGAGGCCGCCGAATCGTGAAAGGAGGCTGGAAGACGAGCCCTTTCATCTTTGGTATAACTCTCTCCCTCGAGCATTCTGCAAGGATCTAGAAGATCGTCATCTCGCTTTGCTGCTTGACTTGCAGGGAACGAGGCGACTGAGAAGCTGGGAGCCATTGGACTGCAAGTGAATCTGGTGACATACCTCGTCCAGCAGCTCCATTTCAAGCCGGCCGATGCGTCCAACACCCTCACCACTTTCGGCGGGACCGCAGCCTTCACACCCTTTGTCGGTGCCATCATCGCTGATGCGTATGTTGGTCGCTACTGGGTGGTGCTCTTGGGCTCTATCCTCTTCACACTGGTAAGAAACCATCCATCCCTCCATCTAGCCAAAAGTTTGGATAGATAGAGCCTTCTCCTGTAGATTCTACGAGGGGAATGATCGATTAGATATAATCATTGTAAGATCGAGGATAAGTCAAAGAAGAAGAGAAGAAAACCAGAAAAAGAACAAGAGAATCAGATACTAGAAGCCTAGAAAGACTGTGGAGCACTGATTTGCTTGGTGGCTTGGCAGGGATCCTTCGTTCTCACGATCCAAGCCCTGGTTCCCAGCCTGAGACCCGACCAATGCGCGGCGAAATCATCGCTGTGCGAGCGCTCGACAGTGGGTCAGCTGGGATTCCTGTACCTCTCCTTCGTTTTGCAGGCCGCGGGCTCGGGGGGGATCCGGCCATGCGTCGCTGCATTTGGGGCGGACCAATTCAACGAGGAGGATCCCAAGCAGCGCACCCAGATCCTCCACTTCTTCAACTGGTACTACTTCACACTCCAGCTCGCCACGCTCATCACCTCCACCGTGTTCGTGTGGATCCAAGACAACGTCGGCTGGGCCGTCGGATTCGGCCTCCCCGCCGTGCTCATGGCGCTGTCCGTCATCAGCTTCGTGGCCGGCACGCCCATCTACCGGACCGCCCGCCCCACCGGCAGCCCCATCACCAGGCTCTTCCAGGTCATCGCCGCCGCCGTGAAGAAGCGCAAGCTAGAGCTGCCGAACGATCCGATGGAGCTGTTTGGGGCCAAGGACAAGCTCCACTCGCCCACGCGGCTGCTCCACACGGATCAATTCAGGTGATATTACCCGTACCTCTGTTTTTAGGTCTCTTGCCCCTTTTCTTTTAGGGTTCTTCCAAGATTAGGGTTCTTCTCACATTTCCATATCCTGCGCTCTGCCAGATTCCTGGACAAAGCTGCGATCGTAACAGACGATGACCAGCGGCGCAGCGGCGGCGATGTGGACCCCTGGAAGGTGAGCAGCGTCCACAGCGTGGAGGAGCTCAAGCTGCTGCTCCGGCTGCTACCCATCCTATGCACGGGCGTGCTCGTCTTCACGGCGTGGGCGCAGCAGGGCACCTTCTGGGTCCAGCAGGGCCGGACAATGGACCGCCGCCTCGTCGCCTCCAGCTCCTTTGAGATCCCGCCCGGATCGATGACGGCATTCACCACTCTCGCGCTGCTCGTCCTCATCCCGGTCTACGACAAGCTGGGGATCCCAGTGCTGCGCCGGATCACGGGCCACCCCCGCGGCCTCACCTCCCTCCAGAGGATCGCCATCGGCCTCGTCGTCTCCATCCTCGTCATGGTGGCCGCCGCCGCCACCGAGGTGAAGCGGCGCAGCGCCGCCGCCGCCGCGGGGCTGCTCGACTCCACCGACCGGACCATCCCCATCTCGATCTTCTGGCTGCTCCCGCAGTACGTGCTCATTGGGGTGATGGAGCTCTTCCTCTCCATCGGCCAGATCGAGTTCTTCTACGATCAGTCGCCCGAGAGCATGCGAAGCATGGCCACGGCGGTGTTTTGGATGGTGATTGGCGGTGGTAGCTATTGTAGCACCGCGATGGTGAGCGCCGTGCACGCCATGACCAACTGGGTGCCCGATAACATCAACCGCGGACGGCTGGATTTGTTCTACTGGATGCTGGCGGGGATCCTGACCGTCAATCTCGGCGTCTACTTGGTGGTGGCAAGGTGGTATAGGTACAAGCGCTGGAACGACGTGCCCGAGGAAAATGGGAAGGTTTTGAAAAAGGTGGAGCAAACTTGAAATGTATAGTCATCATTAAAGACCAATGTAATCACACTGTATGATATATCTCCTCTCTATCTAAATCATCGCAATGGGAGCTTGATCGTCGGCGTCGGCGTAGTCCGGCTTTGTGTACGTGTAGAACGTAGAGACCAGAAGGTGAACCACGAAATCGACGGCCAGGCAGCCCGCCAGCACCCAGTAGAAGTACTCGAGGTTCCCGGTCAACGAGAGCCAGCCCTGGTCGCTGGTCGGGGTCCTCGTTGACCGCTTGATGAGCGCCACGATGGCGGTGCTGACGTAGTTGCCAGTGCCGATGATCGCCCACACCACCGCCGCCGCCATGCTCCTCATGCTGGGCGGCGATTGATCGTAGAAGAACTCGAGGTAGCCGATGGTGACGAAGGCCTCGGAGAGGCCCAGCAGGCAGAACTGGGGCACCAGCCAGAAGCACGAGAGGGGATGGGCGAATCCGAGGCGCCGCCGCTTCACCTCCACCGCGCCCGCCACCAGCATCGCCGAGGCGGCGAAGGTGATCCCCACGCCGATCCTCTGGAGGAAGGTGATGCCGCGCGGGTTCCTGGTGACCTTGGCGGCCAGCGGGACAACGAGCTTGTCGTAGAAAGGGAGGAAGATCATCATGGTGAGGAGGGAGAAGACCGGGAGCGTCGCGGGCTGCATCTTGAAAGCGTGCGGGGAGGATCCCATGCGGAGATCCATGACGTAGCCCTGCCCGATCCAAAACGTGCTCTGCTGCGACCACGCCACGAAGATCGGGATGCCCGTCGCCCACACGGGCGTCATTCGCAGCAGCGATTTGAGCTCCTCTACATGGCTCACCGGGCATAGCCTCCACGGATCGATCTTTTCGGAGCCGTGGTGCTCTCCGTCGACGATTGTGGCTGCTCGGTCCAGAAACCTGCGATCAGAGTTTCGATCGATCACTCGGGACTATGATTCTTCGTGTCAACTTCACGTACCGGTATTGCATTGTGTGACGAAGAGTGATGCCGCCAGCGCCAGCTTTGGGCGCCTCATTGTTGAAGAGCTCCCTGGGATCGTTGGGAATATCAACGCGCCACTTGCGACAGACAGCGACGACGACCTGCGCGAGGCGGGTGAAGGGGCTGCCGGCGGGAGAGATCTTCCTGTAGAGCGGGGAGCCGGCCCAGAAGAGCGCCACCGCCACCACCATCGCCACCGCGGGGATGCCAAACCCCCACACCCAGCCAAACGTGTTTTGGATGTAGACGAGCAGGGTGGTGCTGGTGACCATGGCCGCCACCACGAAGAAGTAGTACCAGTTGAAGTAGCTAAAGAGCTGCTTGCGCTCCACGGGGTTATGCTGGTCGAACTGGTCCGCCCCGAAAGATGGCGCATTTGGCCTCACGCCCCCGGCGGCGATGGCGATGAGCACGAAGGCGGCGTAGAGGTAGCCGAGGCAGTCGTGCTTCTTGCAATGCGGAGGCTTGGTGGACGGGAGCTTGGCCTCGATCACCATCACGAACAGGGCCTTGTATATAAGATCATGAAAACCACGCATCAAAACGGTGTGAAGGTCTTCCAAGAAACACCAAGAACAATCAAAGTTTGACCATCCTTTTTCTTTTTTGTTTAAAAAGAGGAGGGAGTTTACCGCGACATAGATGGTGGAGGCGATCAAGATTGTTGCGTATCGCCCGATCATAGCGTCCGCCACGAAGGCACCCAGCAGTGGCGTGTAGGAGCACATCCCCATGAAGTTTGTGATGGTGTTTGCGGCGTCCACCAAGTCGAGCTTGAGCCGGTGCTGGAGGTAAGCCATCATGTTGAGCATGATCCCCAGCGACGCCAGGAAATCCATGGCTCCACAACCTGTGCGGATCGAGAAATTCACAAAAAGGGGGCTCGAGAAAACAAAGATAGTTACTGAAGATGTATGGCGCTGTTCTCCACCCGCCTTTGTTTCCATGGCGACGATCAGCTGGCACCATGTCGCTCGCGATCGGCTTTTGATCCACCATGACTTCTTCCCCGGGGAAATCGCCCGTGGGCTTCGCATTCCCGTGCTCAGGACTGGTCCCTTGCGATTGCTCGTCCCTCTTTGTTCCTGGCAGAGCTTTTAAGTCTGCTGTTGGCGATTGGGCGGCACCATTCTCCATCGCCATGGTGGTCGATCGAAGAGAGGGAAGCGGGAGGAAATGCGCCACAGAAAAGAGCGAAAATGGCCTAGTTTTGTGGCCGAATAAGATGTCACGCGTGGTGCCAAACATCCATAAAGGGCCCAGAACCTGGAGAATGACACCATTTCTGGCGTCATGCATATCAACTTCTACGGTTTGTCCATGCCTGCTGTGCAGCCAACCACGATTCTAACGCCCGCTATCTTGTGGGTGTTTTGGTATTGATCAGCAAGCGTCATGGTGTTTATAGGGGCTAAATCAAAGCTTGTACCGAGATTTCCGTTTTAATAAAGATTGAAAGCCTGAGTTGAGTGGGAACTTCCTGGACAATTTTTGTACATCAGAGAGATCGTGACTTAATGCCTGGGTCGTGTGAGCCTTATGAAGGAGCGCTGCATTGGCGTGTCTCTAGCTCAGCCTTTGCTTTGCTTCCACACTAAGAGTGTTCTGGATTTCACGAGATTTTGAAGGTGATCTAGAAGATTTGACGCATTAGTTACAAGATCAAGGAATCAGGTGTAAATCTAAAACTACTTATATAAGCCAGTTATAGACCAAGAAACCAGAGAATATATTTCAAATATTTAGGCATATTTTAGGATATTCTTTAATCTAATGGTTAATTATATTTAATATTAATACTTTCTGTTTATTTAAGCAATTGGTCTAAAATATACTTGGATATTCAAGGATATTCTACCATCTAATGGTTATTATTCATTTAGATAGTCTTGTATCAACACTTAGTATATTTTAGTTGATTTTACTATCTAATGTGAGCTTTTTTATTAATCATAAACATTTTTATTATAAATTTCCAATTGATCAATTGGATTAATAAATAATTATCACTACTATTAAGTAAACCAAATGCAAAAAACAACAAATTATTAGTAATACCTTAAATATCTAGGTGGAATATTTCTCAATCTAATGGTATTATAATTTCTCTAATTCATTTGTCATCAAATTTAATATTAATATTCTTGCACATTATTTATATAAACTATATCTAATTCTAACGGTTAAAAGAGTGCTAGCATTGATGTGGAATAGAATCAAGAGGAAGGGGAGCAAAACCAATGTCACCATAGCCAGATTCCTCCTTTAGTTGATCACTCTACTAATTATAAGGTAATGAGTCCTTGGGATTTTACACAATCAATAGTTATAACAATAATAATGCTTATTAGTCAATGTAATACTTTTAGAAGGCCATCAAAGAAGTAAGTATGCTTTATATAAAAAAAAAATCTAATTTTTTAGTTATTTTCTTGAATTGTTTCCCTTGCTTCTCTAATTTGCAAAGCTAGCTAAACAGCAAGGTTGGAAAATGTGTGGTGATTGTATCTTATGTCAGCTTTACACTTTCTTGCATTGACAAGTGAGCATCTGGAAGAATGGGAAGAGTTAGAGCCTATTACTTTATTAATCCAGAGTTTTGGGCTTTTTGTTTTGGCATGGTGTGTTGTTATGAACAATTTAAGAGTTGTAACATTAAAAGTTCTTATTACTTATGTGTTGAGCAAAGGTTAAAGTGTTGACTTATTTATTTTATAGATAAAATGTATCAATTGTAATTGTAATAAAACACACAAGAGAGTTATTCACAGTTGAATATTAAGTTGAATTGCCTCCACTACTTTTGTTTAATCTTGGACTTAATAAACTCTTGTGATATTGAATCAAATAGTATTTAAAGTCAATGAATTTTGAATGTTAACTACCACACAACCATTAATACCACTTTTATCTCCTTCTAAAACTCACTAGGTTTGATAAGTCTGACAAGAATTATTGGTGGTGGCATTTGATTGCTCCTTTAAGAAGATTTCCAACATGATTGTAAAGAAAGATTAATTTCTTTAACAATCTTTATGAAAGAAGTACTAATGAAAGTTCTAAAAAATTTCAAGGAATATAGCTTGTTGTCCATATTCTATTATGTTTTAAAATTCTTAAATTACTAAAAATAAATCTTTAGTGACATAATAAAAGGATCTATTTTGAAGTTGATCCGTCCAAAGGTTCCTTATTAACTTTACTTTCTTGTGGCTTACATTCTAGATTCCATCTCATCTTTAATTGGTGCTCCAAGTATGGCTATATTCATAAGAAGTATCTATGACAGCACTTTCTTTGTGTGACAGTTTAAGATAAAAGACCAACTTGCATTTGTGTTAGCCTATTCAAGAAAGAACTGAAAGTTTTTAACTTTTCATATACTTTTCAAAGATCCTCTAGAAGGAAATTATCTATTATAATTTTCATTATCTTGTATTAGTAGTTTTTAAATATGAAAAAGAAATATTAAGGTACTAAGGAAGATATTGCAAGCATGAGCTATATACATGGGCTTATTCTTCTTCTACTGGATTAGCTCATGGTCCTTCATATAGACTGAAATCATTAAGAGGATTCCTGTAAATAGTTAATTTCAACAAGAAATAAGACAAGTTAGTGTGGTTTTAAGACTTTTATTTGATTGATGTAAGATTCACATTTTTTTTCTAAGCATCTAATAGGAAAATGAGAAATAAATATTTTATTATCTTCCAGTATTTATGGCTTTATGGATGCTATATTGTATAAATAGTAAAAAATAATGACTTGAGAGACAATTTATTAACTGTTAAATATAAAGGGAAAAGGCCCATGAATAAAAATGTACCCCCTTTTCCAATCAGTTAAGGGTTACATGATTAAAACTGTCATGTGTACAGCAATTTAATATGCTATATAATATTAAAATTATGAAAATTAACTAATTTTTGAGAAAAATCTATAATAATAAAAAGGAGTTGCTAAACTTTTGGCATTAAATATCTTTAAGTTTGAGTAATATTATATTAAATGACCTCCTGGGAAATTCAAATTTAAAAGCTTACAAATTCCAAAAACTTATACATTTCTTGTCATATTCATGCTTTAGCTAAAGTTC